CATAAGGTCAACTTTGAGGCACTATATACAAAGCAATCTACTTACTGATCACTTATTTTTACAGTCGTGTCAAATAATAATTAGTTCATCCTTGCCAAGATAATGAAGGTTTTTATATAAATCAAATTAGTTTAAAGCACTTTTTCGACTCTATTCAATTACCGAAAGTGAATATACTACTTTGATATGGCAATGCGTCCTTCTATCGTTCTAGTTATTTTAGCCTAAATAGGAAAATGAATAAATTGTCTTTCTCCAGCGTTGAAAGTGATGGCGACAGGTTTCGTGGAATAATTGGTCGAAAATTACTAGTATGCAAGCGGCAAAACAAATCTTGAGTCATGGTTGGCACGGGAAAAGCAGTATTCCAGACATGCAACAGTATTGCTCTATTTATTCCTCCTCTTTATTAATTAATATAATCATTAGTAACAAATATGACAATTGTTATCGTTATTTCAGTATTAAATTACGATCATACCAACTACACAAAGGTATGAAGTAAAAGCAATCAATTACAGATGATAAAGCATCCCGGCATTGTGATCGTTGAAAATGACTTTCCACAGCTGAAACAGTTGTGTCATCTGATGGCTACTCGAATGTCCTGCAAAATCAGTTGCTATCACAACAGGTATCATAGGATCAACAAAGATTTATTGCCAAGTGAGTGACATGCAAATATTTGCTTCCGGAAATAGTTGCACTGTTGAAACTTTCTCGGTTAACAACAATTTCTGTTCCCAACAAGCTGCAAATACCAGAAGTTGAGGAGATGGCCACAACAAATGACCACATTGCAGTATCATTTAATTAACAACACGCTTTATTCGCCCGTATTAACTAGAAATTGTGCAAAACTGCCGTTTTCTGTTTAAAAAATTTAGACAAATACGTAAAATTCTAGGAAATCCTATCTTTAATGTTAAAATGAGTGGTTGTTGTTGCGTTGTGGAAGGAGCGCTTCCAACATTTTCTTCCCGATTCACAACTTCCTCTCCACAAAATTTCAAGTTGTTGATGAATAATATCATAAAAGCGCATACCACTAGAAATAAGCCAATAGAAGTGACGACATAAATCCATCTGCAATATGCTTTTCAGACTTGTTCGGCTGCTTAAAAATTTATTGAAATTCAAATTTTATCAAATAATTCAGATTTTTACTGAAAAGGAAAAAGAAAAAGCATTTTAGATGTACGAAATTCCCTAAATTTTTCATTCATTCCTACTCATTGGATGAATTCATTTACATTGATAGAAACGAAATTCAAGCATATCGTGTTGCGACTATTGTACTATCCTGCATGAAAGCGCACCGTGTGCGGACAGAAGTTAAGGCAGGTTTCACTGATTCCAATGGAGCTTTCGTCTCCTCAATTTCGGTTATTGCATCTTCGGTAACGACCGTTTATACTGTTAGTTGTCTCTGAAATGATAACGAACAATTCAAGAGCGCAAAAGGACAAAGACAAGCGATATCCAACCACTTCACTCATACAGTCAAACAGCAAATGAAGGCAGAAAAAAGTGTCATGAGATCAACAGCAAGCTACATATTCTCCTAACTTGCGCAAAATATTTGAAGTTGTCTAATTCAATAACTCATTGTGATGTAATTATTAATCAAATTTTTCCGCATACCTCTACGAAATGAGCAAAGCCGATTTGTTGTTAGGTTCGGTATACATAGAAAGTTTTGAAAATGCTTCCAAGATTTTCATAACTTCACTCGACTAATGCAAATTCTAAGTGTCCAAAAAAAAA